GGAAGAAATTCTTTACTGTGAGGGTGGTGAGACCCTGGAACTGCTTGCCCAGAGATGTTCTGGATGTCCCATCCCTGGAAGTGTTCAAGGCCAGGTTGCATGGGGTTGTCTGAGCAACCTGGTCTTCAGGAAGGTGTCCCTACTTATGGGTGGGGAGGGGTTGGAATGAGATCATCTTTAATGTCGCTTCCAACCCAAACCATTCTATGATTCTGTTATCCCAGCCCAAGTGGCAGTGTCAAAGTCGAACAAGAGCTCCACCCAAAGCGCCTCTTGCTCTCTGCAGGAGCCACACCTTCCCACAGAGATAGCGGGAGGGAGCAGCACCTTCCCCATCCCTGTGACAGAGGCTGGGGTCCCAGCTTAACTCACATGCAAATGTGAACAGGAATTTGTTCCTCTTTTCTGCCTCTGTTTTCGAGTGGTTTCTTCTCCCTGTAGCCCCATGCTTCAAGTGTCAGCAGACTACACCATGTGTTGGAGCAAACGCCCCTTCTCCTGAATCAATGCACTCTTTCATCAGGTTAACGCAGTTACTTGCAGAATATAGCTAGAAGGGACAGAAGTGAAGAGCACATAGGCAAGACTACATGGAAAAGCTGTGATGGAGTTAATTTATAAAACCAGGGCAATAACTCATGAATATTCATGGTTTACTGCTATACTGGTAGTGGCAAAGGATGTTTTGTTCAGCTGGTTGGCTTGTAACAAGCCTTGTGTGGGAGCTGGGGCTCTGCAGAACTTCAGGTGCTTTGTGCCTCTTGGCCAAAGAAATATCTGGATACCAGATACATCATGATGACTCAAGAAACTGCTGGGATAAAATGCAATCTTGTAAAACCTAGAGAAGGGATTGACTCAAGTACAAGGTTATTGTAGAAATTCATTGCCCTGGTGATGGAAGAAGTGATTGACAGAAGACTACAATGCTCAGATTTAAACTGAGTGCATTGTCTTTGAGAAGAAGTAAATTTTTCAGTTCAGGGGACACAAGTTTTTGACATAAAGTAAAAAAAAACAAATATAGCAGCACTCCTTTTCTAAGGCAGGGTGAAAGGTGACTGATGTTTTCCCACTAGCACTCTCTATTTCTTTCCAGTTAGTTTTAAGGACTTAAAGCAGTGTTGCCCTAGTATTGTAGTAAGACACATTTTTCTGTTGAGCTTGCAACTACTGCATTGTTATTCCAAGTATTTATCCCCGAGTGAATATCCAAGTTTATTGACATGCCTGCAGTACCCCTTTCTGTTACTTACCATGAAAAACCACAGTTGCTGTGTGTACAGCTGGAATACTACAGTTTTTCCTGGGATCTCTTCATCAGCAGTGACACTGCTCTCTTTAAAACCTCCCTTTCCTCAGCATCACCAGGATCACCAGCCCTTGTTTTTGTAGGTGACTTTAACCTGCCAGACATCTGCAGGGAACTTAACACAGCAGAGCAGAGGCAGTCCAGGAGGTTCTTAGAGTGTGTGGAGGACAACTTTTTGTC